AATAAAAATTGTATGGTTAATTTGCTTAACGACGTGTTCTGGGTATCATCCAAACCATTTGTGGAATAGTTCAATGATTTGGGTTATCGTTCATTTATGGTTATTTTTTATTAGGGTAGTATTTAACATTTGGAGCATGGATCCGTCGATAGTGAGATATCGTAGGATTATGTAATAGTATGTCTTCCGTGACCATCTTTTTCAGATCTCTGCTCTTTAATTTTTGAAGCATACCCCTCTTATCAATATTCCAGTCACGCGATGCTTCTTTCTTGAACGCGCGAGAAATAGTATTACTGAAATTTACAATTGATGTACTACAAACAAATACTACGCCTATTAAGAATAGAATTCATACCTGCAAGATTTTTCATACCCAATTGTGTTCAGAAAAAATGTTGCACAAACGTTCTGCGAACTGAAAAAGGAATCTTTCAAATGATATTTATATGTAAAACATTTCCGATGCACAACGGCACGTATCCGTCTACGTTTAACTTCGATCTGCAGAACGTTTTCCCGGATAAAACCTTTTTGATCGGCAGGCGTCTTGTTCCAATACGACTCATTGATGCGTAGCCGCATTTCTCTAGCTATTTTAGATTCACAATCCAGAGGACATGCTGCACAATTTCCAGGCACCACTGTGTGTTTTATACGCTTAATCGTTTTAGTCTCCAGAGCTACTGCTTCTCGCTTTGTGGGTTTACGACGCGGAATACTGTCATCTGGCTCCTGCTCACTTTCACTAGTGGTTCCGTATATTGTTGTAGATACTTTAAAGCCATATCTAGCTGGAATTCACACCACAATAAACGAGAACGTATGCACGTTAGCCAAAACAAATGACCGTTTGGCGAATTTCCCTGAGATTGTAATTGAAAAAATGGCTACTATGATTAAAAATCAGCCTTTATAGAAAATGGCTATTAGTTTCGTTGTTTTTATTCAACGGCATGTTTCCGGCATAGGCAAATACTGTTATGTATATTTTAAAAGACAATTTTATCTAGTAAAACTTATTCAACCAACAAAAATGTTAAAATTGCATTTTTCTCGATTTCGTGCTTCAGGCACATTAGCCAATTTAAATACAGTCTCCCCAGTATTCTGGGTCACCCACAATTATGGGCCACTTCCATAAGATTAACACGCAGAACTGACTAACCTATAATAGTGAATAGCTGGCCCATAATACTGGGATGACTGTACATCATCTCATGCGTAAGATGAACGGTGGTCTGATTATGCTAACATGAATTGTCGCCAGTTTTAAACCATAACCGAAACATTGAAATACCTGAAAATTTTAAGATAAAGTATAATACACACATAGTTTAGATTACCGAAGTCGGTAAAATTTTACTGGGTTTTTAAACAGCTGAGTTTTCAGCAATCAACTCAGTAGTTCTTGGTTTAACTGAAAACTCGGTAAATGGAAAATTCCCTGAAATGTCAAAATTTACCGTTTTAGTCAGTAAAAAATGTGCTGACTTGTTCAGTAATTTATTTGTTTACATTATTTTGCTGAGTTTTCCAGTACTTTGATGAATAAATATCAATGAGCAATAAATAAAATATTTCGGATATTTTAAGATTTTTATTAGGGGACTCAGGTTTATTTGTTTAGAGGCATAATAGCAATGATGCTGTTTAAACTTATCTTGAGCTATAGTCCAGCTTAATACTTCCTCGTGGTTCAGCCGGCTGGTTGCTTTCTTGGAGTGCCATTTCTGCTACACACAATCGAAACATCTGGAAGTCGATGCAGGACTGCAGGAGTGCATGTTGCTGTTTTCACACACAACTTTCTGAAGTCAAGTGCGCGAGGTGGAACGGAGGAGAATGACGTAAAGGAATATAATTTACTAGTGTGATCCGTAATTTTGGAATTTCGATTGATGATTGTTTCAGTAAAACATAATCAGTACTGAAAACTCGGTGTTCTATTTTACTGAGTTTTAGTCATTTCCCGTAAAACTGTTATTTTAGGTCAATTCAGTGATTACTAAATATTACCGCATTCAGTAGTTTCTTGCCAAAACTTATGGAAGTCAGTAATTTTATTGAGAACAGCTGAATGTTCGGCAGTTTTTGTGATTTACAGTTCGAAAACTGTAAAAAAAATTACCGAACAAGGAAACCGTGATTAAGTGTGTAGTCAAAAATACATGACATACATCAATTTTCCGTAGTTCTACGTCATACTGCGGTCGTGTCTAGGACACAACCTTTTAATTTTTTTATCACATACAATGATAGAAGAGCAATAGTTTGTATCGCTTAACTCGATTTGTTTACATTTGGTACTTCACGGAGAACAAATTCGTTAAGTTAAGATAACAATCCTAATAGTTACTTTCACATGGAAAAATATTGTTGTTTGAAAGAAACCTATAGTTATTCCAACATTAATTTGACCGTCAGCTCAATCATATCTACCTAATAGGTTCAACTGTTCATCTTATAGTACGTTCAGACTACAGAGTTATAACATGTTATAGCGCTATCTTGATGGTGGTTTCTGTGTTGCAATTATTTGACAACCTTTATAACATGTTATAACTCGCCAGTCTGGCCAGCGTTTTATACTCAATTCAACTATAACAGGAACCTTTGAATTCAACTATAACAGCAACCGTTAAATGTAATTTATTTATATAATTTGGTTTCAAGTGATCATCATAAATCCACATACTTTTAACTTGTGATGCGTAGAGCAGGCGATAAGATAGCTGGCTCTCACGCAGATGAACGCGGTTCAAATCAAAGCTGAATGTTCTTGTTAACTTTTTTATGATTTTGCAATTGTGTGCGATCGATAAAGAAGCAAAACAAACTTCCTTAATATGTCGATAATGAAGAGCAGTTCGTTTAATAAACATTGTAAAATTTTGCTTTCCTAACAATAGTTTTCTTGAATCAACTAAAGCATAGTTGTATTTTGAAGTTTGACGTTTGTTCATCTACTGAAAAATATAGTTGAGCCAACCGAGGAGCCAACTATGGACTATAGTTGTTGCCCTCTATATATAGTCAAATCAACTATAGTTTCGGGTTATCTCTAAAACAATTAAACAATATAGTTATTTTGACCGGAAAAATAATTGTTCTCCGTGTTAGGACGTTTTGAAAAGTAACGCGAGAATTGTGGAAATGCGTTAAAAATAAGCTGAGAGCAGGCCTAAGCTCATATAAGAGCGTCAAAGCTAGGAAGAAGACTAAGAAGTAACCATTATTTCAATGTTTTTGAATGTCACTCGTGTCATATTCTTGCAAAATAATTTTCGCGATTAATTTTAGTTCGCTTCATTAGAATCGCTCATAAATCCTGCCAGAAGCAATTCCGCCAAAATCCCGTCTTGAATTTTGATTTTTAATTTGAATTTATACGATAATTTGCGTCTGCCAAACAAAACAATATGCCTGTAATTCATTCAAAAGGCACGATTTTCCCTTTCCTCCTTCATTCCTTTCTTGGAAGCCATCTCTCCTCCACCACACTCATTATTCAATGAATCTTAATTAGTCATTCTTTATGAGATTTTTCCTTCGCACTGTCTCCTGCAAGCGATGTCCATCTCTGACTTTTTCTTTTTTTCTTTTGTCTAATCAGCTAATGAGAAAAAAAAAACGACAGGAACGTGCTGTCCAGGATGATTCCCTGTTCACGTGGTCAGTTAATTAGTGTGGTCATCATAGTAGGCGATTGGAACTCCGTCCGCTTCGTACCCCACCTCCCTTGGAATGCTTTCAACCTACAACAAAAGTTCGAATGCAATCGCCAAAGGTTGCTGCTGCGATGACCAACCACCCAAAGTGTGTAATTTGCATGGCTAATTACGAACGGCGATTGACGGCCGGAGCCCCGCCACGTGGTCGCGGCCAGTGGCGACTCATTAGGGCACTCGACCTACCAGGAGTCGAGAATCGTCGGGAAGGACTTTTTTCCCCTCGTCATGGACGACTAGATAAAAAAAAGGAAACGCACAAGAGAAAAAAAGTCGTCGGACTTCATTTCTTTTTTTTTTCTCCATCGCCTCTAAGATCGGCCACCCTCTTCTCAAACCACTAATTGGAGTAATTAAAATCGGGAGGGGGTCGCGAAACACGACCCACGACCATCAGAAGACGGATACAGAGAAAAAAAAAAGGTGGAGAGTCTCGGTCCGAGTAAAAGTTATTCTTTCCTCTTTGGAGTACAACCCAAACACTTGTTGCAACGAGAAAGCAAGCCAAGCAACGCAAGGTATATAAAAATAAACCCAGGGGATTTCAAGGCCAACTGCGACCGGTCTGCTTTATTCCTACGACGGAGTTCGTTTCTGTTATCGCTTTCCTTCATCAACCGAAATGAGCGATATCTGGGTTGGCCTTGACGGCGTACGTGATGTTGAGCATGGTGCCTACCTTGCAGGCGTTCGCAGATCGGTGTTCGGTCCGATGGAGTTGGAGGGCACCTGTTGTTATTGTTTTGATTGATATCCGCAACCTCGCTGGAAGTGGGGAAACAACCGAACAACACACATCATCATGTTCGAAGTCGAAGTTGAGTGTATTTAGTAACGGGGGAAGGTCAATCGACCACCTGCGAAAAATTGCTCGTTCCAGGAGATTGTTATGATGTGTTATTGACACGCACCGCCACGCCCTTCGGGGAAGCGTTCAACCTTGATTCTGGTCAGGCGGGTGTTTATTTTCACGCACTCGTTCGCTTCCGGAACGGTCGGAAAAAGGGTCGCGTGTTCCCAAGTAATAACCTTCCATCTCGGGAACGGGAAAATGGGAATGGAAGTCACGTCTGCTCGTTTCCACTCCCACTCCGTTGCCTCAGTGTGTGTGTGCGTGACTGTGGTAAACAATGTGCGATTTGCTGATGGTAATGGATGTTGCGTGTCATGTAAGCAGTATACCTTCCAGGGGCAGTCATCCAGTTGTAAGCAAAAGCAAGCAGAGCGAGCGTTGTTTTTAACAACTGACAACTATATTTGTTACAAATTACTAAATGACAAGCCTACTACACACTAATTCCTAACAACTACAAATTCGGGGTTTTTCTCCTTACTTTTTGCCAACAAAGTAACTACAAAAAATCACAAACGATAGACGAATCACATGATTAACCGCTGCCGGGGATCGTCCCCGCAGTCGTAAGCGTCTTTCATCGAGTCCGCGTCGGACATGTTTTCCAGCTCCATGGTAATGTCGTGCTGCCTGATCGTATCGCTGGAACCTGGTTCGGTTGGGACCGCACCCGGGGGAGGCGTTTCCAGGGTCAGCTCCGTGTGGGTCGCCGTCTGGCGAAGTCGCGGAACGCTCTGGAACATTTTGACCTCGGCCGCGTCGACCGTGCTGAGCTCCGGATTGTGGAAGTGCATGCCGATGTCGAATTTTTGCTGGAAGCGACGCCGGTAGATATACCCGATGCCTCCGATGACCAAAGTTAGGATCAGCAATACCAGGAAGACATTGGCGACCGTTGAGGCAGTCGAGGATTGATCCGATGGTTCGTGGTCATCCGGTGCGGTTGCGGCGAGGTGTGTTTTGACCTTGGGACTCATGGCGTCCGAAGTGTGCGGACAGATGTCTTTTTCGTTGATGTGCTCGCCGTTATGGCAGATGCACTTACCAGATCCATCCTCTCCGGGTACGCAGACGTGGTTGCAGTTGATCTTTTTCGCATCGCAGGCGTTATCCGTTTCGGGTTGGCGTGATTCCTGAACGATCAGAAGCTGATTGGAGTTGTGGACGTTCAGCTCCAGGAGGCGACATTCGTAGTCGCCGTAGAGTTTACACTGTCCTACCGTGGACGATGCCATGTTGAGGACGAGCGCTTGATTTTCGTACAAGGTGATTCCGATCGGACGGCTGACGGCAAGATTTTGCTTCTCAACGATCGTGCGCAGTTGTTTGCCCTCGTAGTCGATCATCTTGATCGTTCGAGTGCTGATGTCGGTAATGTAGAGCAACTTGTTTTCCGTGTCGCACTGGAGCGAGGTCACATGCGAGACGTCCTTGCTGATGATCAGCTGATTCTGCCCGTCCATGTCGGCACGGTAGATGATCGAATGCGGAACCTCGAAGATCCAAAAGTGCATGACGGAGTAGAACAGGATCCGATTGATTGGATCAACGACCACGGATTTAACGAAGACTTGCGAGGTGAAGGTGATGATTCTCGAGCAAACTTGGCGCTGAATTGAACATAATTTGATGGATGGTTCTGATCGATCGTAGAAGTAGAGGTTCCCGGTGACCCAATCTACCGATAGATGCTCCGGGTGGCCAACGTTGTACAGAACGTGGGTGCTGTTGCGTTCAATATCATGCTCGTAGATTACCGGGTTGTACTCGTCGGTAAAGTAGAGCATCTGTCGACGAACGTCCACGTCCATGGAAGTGATGCGAGATTCGTTGGCCTGAATGAGGATTCGGATCGACGGTGGACTTACTTCCAGTTTTCGGATTTGATTGTACGAGGTGTATAGGACGTAGCGGCTGGGACCAATAGCTTTGCAGGAGATCTTATCCGACCGTAGCATAAATCCGGGATTGCAGGAGCAGCGATACGAACCAAACGTATTCCTACACTGCTGAGCGCATGGTCTTCCCTCGGAGCACTCGTCTACGTCCTGACAGGACTTCTTGTTTCCTGCCAGAGTATACCCAACGCGGCACTCACAAATCGCTCCAGTCGGTGTTTTGATGCACTTGTGTTCACAAGGACTCTTCTTGCACGCATCATCGCACCCCTTGCCTTCGTCCTGCCCATCATCGCAGTCCTTCTTTTCGTTGCAAACCTTGCTCATTTCGATGCAAACACCAGGTTTACACTCGAATGTGCCGTCCCCACAGGCCACATGCACCTGAACATCCTCTCGGGACGTTCCACAATCCACTTCATCGCTTCCGTCATCGCAGTCGACCTCCTTGTCGCACCGCCACTCTTTCCGGATACACTTGCCACTCTTGCACTGGAACTCATGGATTCCACAGACGCTACACTCCGCCTCGTCTTCCCCATTCGGACACTCCGATGTTCCGTTACACCGTACCGCAATATCCAGGCACTTTCCAGATTTCGGACATAGGAACTTGGTCGGATTATCGTCCTCCAATCCGACACACGGCTCTGCTTCAACCTTGCAGCTCAGTTCATCAGAATTGTCTCCACAATCGTTGTTGCCATCGCAAACCAGTCGATCCTCGATGCAATGCCCCATAGCACACTTGGTGAAGCCAGCCTTACACTCGCTCTTCTGCAAACACTTTTCATGCTCATCCGACCCATCCGAGCAATCTGGAGATCCATCGCACTCCCACCACCTCGGAATACACTGCCCCGTGTTACACCGGAACATCTGCGGTCCACAGGTCGTTGCATTCGTCTTCTCATTGTTCAGCTCCGTGCATCCCACCTCATCCGACCCGTCCAAACAATCCGGAAACCCGTCGCACAGCGTGTTCACATCGATGCACATCCCATCCGGACATGCATGCTGATTCTCATGGCATCCAATTCCCCGATCGTACCCCTCGCAGTTCTTCTCGTCCGAGTGATCTCCGCAATCAAAGTGTTTATCACATCGCAGCTTCTGATCGATGCACTTGCTCTTGTCTGCGCACATGAACTCATCGTAACGACATTCCAGTTGCTTCACCCTGTCCTCCCCATCGCAGCCCTTCTCGTCGGACCCATCCGCGCAGTCCTTGTTTCCGTTACATCGCTTGCTGATCGTTAAGCACTCGCCGCTGGTACACTTGAACTCGCAGTCGATCGCGTCGATGCAGGTTGTGTTCTTCGGTGAACTGAAAATCATTCCCGTCGGACAGATGCACGCCGTACTGTACATCCCGGCGGGGACGCAGATGTGCGAACAACCTCCGTTCTGCTTCTGACAGGGATGATCGTACCGCTGAAGTGGTTGACTTCCCAGCAGAATGATCTCGTCCGGGACAGCCCCGTACGGTGGTTTATCGATGGTGATCTTCTTCGTCACTCCGAGGTTGTGCTTGTCGGACCAGTAGAGGCGCTTTGATCGATAGCAGGTCCAGAACAAACTGTCTCCGACGATGGCTATGGACACCGGGAGCCGGAGATATTCCCGGAACAGATGCCGAGTGTCACCTTCGTAGCTGGTGAACTCGATCTTGCTCAAACCCATGTCGTTCCAGTAGACCGAACGGAGATCCCGATCGGCGACGAAGTTGAACGTCCCGTTCCCACTGACGCGTTCCTCGATGATGTGCAAGTGAGGACCTCGACCGGTCATATCCTGGCGGTCGATGTGGGTGTGCGGAACTGGTGACGAGGATCGCAGGGCGATGAACATTTTACCGATCTCGGAGATAACCGCTAGGCCGACGGGCTTGTCCATTCCCAGATAGTGCTGGATGATGGCTCGCTGGCGGGTCTGGAGTGAGAAGACTTCGATCGTTGATCGCTCGCTGTCCGCCCAGTAGAGGTTATTGCCGAGGAAGTCTGCGGGGCAGGTGGATCGTTAGTTTTGTGATAATACATTAGAACAGATGGTGGGTTAGTACCGAAAGCCAGAGCGGAGATGTTTCCGATTCCGGTTGTGATCAGTCGCTGCGACGCCTTCGTTTTGAGATCAACGGTGAAGATCGCCTTTTGACGATTATCGGCGACGAAGATTTCCCCGGTGATCGTGTTGAAGGCCATCCGGTGGAAGAAGATTTGGAAGGCATCGGCTTGGGATGTTTCGTGCCGTCCGAAGGTTTGCGTTTCCAGCTTGACCAGGTAGTTGGAGATGCCCAGCAGGAGGTACTGCCGCTTGATCGTTTCACGACACGAATGCTTGTCCGCCTTAAGGCTCATACCGTATGGGCATGAACAGCTGTAGCTGTCATTCGGTGCCAGCAGACAGAGGTGGGAGCAGAAGTTGCCCAAGCAGGGATGATCGCCCTTCGGTTGCAGGGCGGGGTGGTAAATGTAGACGTCTGGGGGAAAAGGTTGAGTCAGTAAGAATATACAGTTATATGGATTACTGAGGTAGACTTACCGAAGATCTGTCGGTCGTGCACTACAATTTTGCGGTCCTTTCCGTTGAACTTTTCGCAGGATTGAATGCTCTTAGTGTCCCAATCGGACCAGTAGATGCGATCGTTGAACACGGAAATCGAAAAAGGATGCTTGAGGACATCAGACAGGACCGTCACCCGGTTAGTTCCGTCCATTTTGATGCTTTCGATCTTCTTCAGTTTGGCATCAACCCAGTACAGTCGCTCGTTGGGCCAATCCAGACTCAGTCCATTTGGCCAATGGATGTCTTTGTCGATCAGGATCTTCTTGTTTTTACCATCCATATTGGCAGTTCCGATCATGGCGTTATCTCCCCAGTCCGAGTAGAACAAGGTTCCGTTCTGAGGCAGCAGAGCTATACCTCTGGGTTTGTGCAGCGTATCTTGGATAAGTATCGAACAGTGAACACCATCGTTCGAGCAGACGGCAATCATCATATGGCCACTGTCGCTGAAGTAGATGTTCCCGGTGAGCCAATCCAGATCCAGATCCTCGGGAGAAGCCAAACCGGAGGTCAGCAACAGTTCGCGTTTGCTTCCATCTTCCAGCGATCGCTCGATCGATTCCGTTTTGAAGGAGATGTCCGTCCAATAGACGTGCTTTCCATCGTAGCTGACACCGATCACCTGCGAAAGGTCCTTTGCCACGTAGTACTGATGTTTGGTGTCCATGTGCAGTCCACCGATGGATTTCTGAGTGGTGTACAGCAAGAGCGGTTCGGCAAGATCTGTAAAAATGACGAATTTTTAGGGGTGAGGGTATTTCAGGACATGCATCAACTCTTACCATCCAGCTCGCATGTTCTTGCATCTTCCTTTAGTTTGAACTTGTTGACGCACGTACACCGAAACGACCCCGGAGTATTCTCACACCCCTGCGAACACAATCCGTATCGTTCACACTCGTTAATATCCTCGCAAGCTTTACTCTTCTTGTTGAATTTGTAGCCCGGTTTACACAGGCAAACCGCGCCGTGCGGCGTATTCTTACAACCCTCTGGACACCTCAAGCTATCGCACTCCTTCGATTGGCACGATCCTCCCTCGTCGCTTCGATCTCCACAGTCATCCTTCCCGTCGCAAACCTGTTTCAGATCGACGCACGTGCTATTGTCCGCACACTCGAACTTGCCATGCTCCAAATCACACCCGGCGAAGCAGTTCTCCTCATCCGAGCCATCTCCGCAATCGTCGATTCCATCGCAAACCCAATCGTGGCTCTTGATGCAGTGTTTGTTCTTGCACAGAAACCCCTTGCACTTCTTTTCGATATCCAAGCATCCGATGGTCTCGTCCGACCCATCCAAGCAGTGCGCCACCCCGTCGCAAACCAAGTCCACCGGAATGCACATCTTGTCCGTGCAGGTAAACTCGAACTTGCTACATGGCACCGGTACGTGCGGCACTTCGAAATTCTCGCAGTTCTCTTCATCATCCCCCAACGGACAATCATCGTGCTTGTCGCACAGGAACGACGCACTGATGCAGCTGTTGTCATGTTTGCAGCGGTACCACATCGGTTTCTTGCATAGGAAGTAATCTACCGAAGAAGAAGAAGAAGAAGAAGAAGAAAAAGAAGAACAGAAGTGAATCCAAGCAACCCATGGCGATAGCGTACTACGGACTTACCACACCCAACTTCGTCGCTCCCGTCGGCACAGTCCTTGTTGCCGTTGCAGTGGTTCGTGTCCGGGATGCATACTCCGTTGTCGCAGCGGTACTCGTTGTCACCACATGGGGTAGCCTTCACGACCCGACTGGACGACTTGCGACCGGCGTCCGCGCCACCGATTATGACGGTGCCGATCAGCAGCAGTACGATCGCACTCGATCGTAGCATGATCGATGCGGAACGAAATCTGTGTGGCGGCAAGGGTGCGAGGTTTAGTTGAAAGATTCATTGGTTTATATAGGGTAGAGAACTACTTCTTCCTCATCGCCCATTTTGGGCCAATCGAGCAGAAAACATCAAATAAATCCATGATTTCAGAGTTAACATGCCAATTAAGCGTTTGGTACGATTCTTTAGTTAATAAGCTACCAAACGAAGTCAATGAGAACGCGTGATATAAAGGTTTGCACCCATTATTCCCAGAAACAAAAGAAGCGCTCCGACAGAATCAATGTTTATCTTCATCCGATAGGCCGAAGTGAATTCATTGGCGTTTCAATGCGTTAGGCCGAGTTTAGAATCCGTAGGCCGAGTTTGGTGTCAAGAAGTAGTGTTAGACTTTTGACAATATCTCAACGATTGGTTTCTCTACGTACGGAAAGGTAAATTAATTTGGAAGCCATCAGTAATAATAACATTCCGTTTGGTGCTTAACTAAAAACGCTAAAAAAGCTAAACGCTAGATTAGGAAAGACTAAGTGCGGGTTGTGCTTAATAGGCCGGAAATGCGGTAGTTAACCCTATTTCGAAGGAATAGATTTGATTTCGTTTCAGCGATATCGGGAAACACATAATACACGTGGAGAATCTCTTCAAGAGTTATAATCAATCATATGTAGAGTTTTGTGCTTTCATTAGACGTTCTATAATTGTCCTCAGAATTTCCTTGGAATCCTACTTAGAATTATCTTGAAAGGTACCTTGGAATTTGAAATCCTTAAGTGTTCCTTCAAAATTCCCTGGGAATTCTACATAGAATTCCGTTGGTGTGCTTCTCGTGTTTCTTTGAATTTCTCCATAGAAGTTCTCTAGAAATTCCGAAATTCCGTGAAATAGAACCAGTCCTCAGGATTCCCTTGAAATTCTCCCCAGAATCTGTTAAGATGCTCGAAAATCTCTCAATCTAAAAGGTAAATTTGTTTCAATTGCGTTAATTATTACTATATTTAAAGACCATTTTCCAAAACTATTTTTTTAAGTGATGAGAGGGTGGTGGTGAGCCATTTTTTTTTTAGAATCCGTAGAATTTCTTCGGTACAAAAAATCTAGAAAATCCGTAGAATTGTGCAATTGATGCGACTATCCGAAGATCCGTAGTGAATCTAAAAATCCGCAGATCTACGGATATACCCGTAGTAACTGTAGTAGATAGTGTTAGTGTGGAATATAAATGAATAGAATCAAGTGAGCGTGAAGCGTAATCGACCGTATGTAAACGGGTTCTTATTGGTTCGGGAATTTAGTTACAGCTAGAGCTATAAATATGAGGTACCTTAGCTCGTTGACTGCATTCTTATGACGGACCATGGAGAGAGCGGACGACCAGCAGAAAGAATAGCGGCACTAGCGGACCAACAGAGGGAGTAGCAGATTCGTAGAACCGTGACCATCCTCTTTCTTGGGAGGATGCTACTGGCGCTCCCTGAGAGGGCAGTTGAAATTCCCCTTAGCGGGTAGATGGAATTCCCCCTATATGTAGTCAGCTTGGATAGAGTTAGTGTGGAATAGAAATGAGTAGAATCAAGTGAGCGTGAAGTGTGATAGCCCTGTAGTAGATAGAGTTAGTGTGGAATAGAAATGAGTAAAATCGAATCACGCTTGATCGTATGTAAACGGGCTCTGATTGGTTCGGGAATTTAGATACGGCTAGAGGTATAAATATGAGGTACCTAAGCTTGTTAACGGCAGGCACATTCTCTGCTTAACCATCAAGCTGTACAGTCTGATTTTCTTTTCGCTCGCTCTCTCGAGTCGTTCGGTGTTTTAAGTCGGTCATTGGTCGTGGTACCCGTCGCGAGTTTTCGCTTTGGCTAGCAACGTGTCGTCAGTTCTCGCCTCACTTGTGGCAGTCGCTAAATCGGCGGTAGTGGAGCAACAATTGAATGCCTCCACTCACCCGTTGAAGAAACAAAAGGTCATGGATCGCCAAAGTTTGGATGGAACCGCATCCGTTCAAAATGCCCCGAAAAGGCCTCGCAAGAAAGCTGGTGCCAGCAACCACACGGAAAGGTTGCTTCAGAGTAATCCGTTCTCGGCACTCCCCGAAGAAGCAGATGTAGATCCAGTTGAGAAACGGGAAAAAGTGCCTCCACTAGACTGATGCAAAATTTGACTTTTTAGCTCCACAATGCTTAAATGGTTTCAAATCGGGTCCTGATTAGCCTTTCAAAGTTACAACTCATTTGGTTATAAACAGACTTCGCACAAGCCATTTGAAGTTTACATGTAAATTACTATGGGAAATCTCAACTTTTTGTTCATTGTCTTCTAGTCTTTTTCCATATTAAGCTGCGAAACCGTTCGATAGCCATTCTTATAGAAAATTTTCTCAGCTGCAACTTCGCCGAAGATCATTTCTATGTAAAACGAGCCAGGAAAAAGTTATTAATTATTCAAGAGATTGAAAAACTTATGACATGATCAAGCAGCTGCTCTGTAGGCAACACTGTATTTTGCAGTGTGACATAGTAGCCATGATTTTTGTGTCCTATTCAACGCCCCAGAAACACCAATGTTGCCTGCTGAGCAGTTGATTGAGCATGATCATAAGACATCAGTGCATTGAACCATTGATAACTTTCGATCCTTGCATTTAATCAAAAAGTGGTCTTGAGCAAAGTTGTAGCTGGGAAAATTTCCTACAAGTACAGTTGAAAGTTTTTGAGGCAGACCGATATGGTGAATTATTAGATAGACATCAACAAAAATCTTGGTTTTACCATAGTAATTCCCATACAAACTTCAAATGGTTTGTGCCATCTCAGTTTCTCACCAAATGGGTTCAAATTTTGAGAGGTTAGTCAGGATCCGATTTGGAATCATTTAAGTATTGTGGAGCGAAAATTTCAAATTTTGCATCACTCTAGCCTCCACTGTTCACCTCGACGAAGGAACTCGCGTTGCTCAGGAATGAGCTGGCTAAAAATAAAATCCATCCGCTGTTCAAGCTGTGCAGCACGGAGATCAAAATCTTGTGCTCGACGCTGGCGGACTACAACGCTGTTGGCACTTTTCTTCAGCTGAACCGGTTTGAGTTCTACACTCACGACGTCCCTAGAAGAAAACCACTGAAAATGGTGATCCGTGGTCTTCCAAATCTCCCTGTTGCGGAGATTAAAGCGGAAGTGGACCACCTTCATCTGCAACCAATCAACATTTTTCCCATTGCGAGACGTGATGAAACCAGTGCATTCCGGGACCAGTTGTACCTGGTGCACTTCGATAAGGACTCCACAAGTGGGGCTGCTCTGCGGCAGATTCGCGCCTTGTTCAACATCGTGATTCAGTGGGAGTAGTATCGCCCTCCGCACCGTGCACTCATTGTCTGGCATTTGGGCACGGTACGAAGAATTGTCACATTAAGGCTCGTTGTGGCAAATGTGCTGGGGCTCACAATACTACCGCCTGCAAGACGGAAGAAGAAGCTGAACCTAAGTGCGTGAACTTCGATTCCAACCATCTGGGCAGCGATAGGAGATGTCCCAAGCGAGCGGCCTTCATCCAGATCCGTCAACAGGCTGCCACGAGGAACCAACCTGTTCGACACCGCAATAATCGTGCTCCTATTGTCAACATGGACACGTTTCCAGTACTTCAGGCCAGTGTTGGAAAAGTTCGCGATATTTCATGAAGTTCACCAAGGGAAAAGTTCGTGAGTCATAGTGAGTTTTCGTGAACTTTTCCATCACTGCTTCAGGCTCGTCGTATGGTCCCGAAACTAGCACCGCTTCCATTAAATTAGCGCCCCCCCCTTGCGAATCCAACATCAGATCAAGCGGGTCCCAACCACCCTTCAGTTCAGCATCGCCTCACTGCCCCGGGATTATCGTACGTCCGTGCTGTCAGGTTTTGTGCTCAGGTGAGTCAGAAGAAAATTCTCCACTCACAAGCGACAAACTAGTGATCCTCGTGACTGAGGTGATCATAATCTTACGCACCACCAAGACACTACCTGAATAGCTTCGTGCAGTTATGACCCTCGTGCAAAAGTATGGACCGTGAAGCCATCAAAATAGTCAACTGGAACGCTTGCTCGCTCAAGAGCAAAAACATTGAGTTCGTTAATTTCCTCAATGAACATAGCATAGACATCACCGAAACACACCTGAAGCCGGAGATAAATGTTCACCTCCCCGATTTTCGGCTCGTAAGACTAGACCGGACCAGTGGCTATCGCATTAAGGAGAAATATTGGCTGTCGACTGCTACCGAGTTTCCAGCTGAAGATGATCGAAGCGGTGGGTGTGGAAGTCTCCACTCCTATCTGCCCTATTACCATCGCTGCGGCCTACTGTCCCAAACAAACCACCATCAGGGACGGGTCGGCAGCAGACCTGCGGAGAGACATCATCAGACTAACTCGACGGCGCGAAAAGTACATCATCGCGAGCGACCTGAACGCTAAATACCAGGGGCAACAGTCGACGCAACCAAAACGGCACAATCCTGAACGACGACCTGCGCCAGACTCTCCCACCCGGTTGAGCCGGTGTGGCATATTCATCAGCAACATGGGAGACAACATCTCGCAACCTGTGACCCACCAGGAGCGGAGTTCGGACCACTATCCGGTGGTGGCCGATGTGGGCTCATCCGTCAACTGATTCCAAGCTTCGCGACGCAACTACCATCGTGTCAGCTGGGAGCAGTTCCAACAATGTGTCCACTCCACTGTTGACTACGGTGTCCTTCCGGAGACGCCCGAAGACGTTGACCGGTGTCTGCGTTCCATCGAGGAGGCGATATCCCGGGCCAGGGAACAACACGTGCCAGTATCCAGACAGGTGAGCAATACTCTGAACCTTGATAGAATTACCAAAAATCTCATCAGACTCTGTAACTCCATTCGAAGGCAATACCAGCGTTCTGGCTTGCATGTCGTGAAGACCCACTGTAATCGCCTAACAAAAACCATCCAAGCCAGGATGGTGAACCTCAAAAATCAGGACTTTGCTAACAAGATCCGCT